CATTTATCAGATTTTTTTTAAACTGTTCACTGACACCAAGGATGAGCCTAGTTATGTCACCAGAGGATGTTTGCTTAGACAGGAGATGAGAAGAATTTTAAGGTAAAAAGTTGATCTATTTTTTTATTCCTAATGAAAGATTAATCAAATATGTCTTCCTCTTTTAAAGATTTTACTTATATAAGCAGAGCGGGGGGGGGGCAAGGGGGGGAGTGGAAGCCAAGAAATTGCTAAAGTCTGGAAAGGGAGCTTTTAATTTTCCGTGGCAATTCTCCTCTTCTCAGGTTGTTAAATTATGATAATTGAAACTAAGATAACATCAGGATTTTAGGTTTTGCAAGAGTTTGGATGGCTTATTACCCATATGTGTTAATGAGAGACCAATAAAAAATTTCTCAAGCCTATATTAATCTCATTATAAGTGAGTTAAAGTCTGAATAATTCAAATAATAACTTGTAATTGAGGTGATTTCCGTTTTTGAGAGAAGGAATTAGTCAAAATTAATAAGCCACTGGCTAGGAGTAAAGTTCTGAAATAAATAAAGAACTTTCTGTACAAATTTAATTTGGAATATATTTTTATTTATATTTTATTCCTCATACTTGAACCAGTTTCCGAGTCCTTAATTGGTACAGCACTTAACTCTCTAAACACAGTCCTGTAATTTTACTTTAGAATTTGCATTGAGAGGATCCATTGACTTAAACCCTCTGTTATCACTGGTCTATAACTTTCCTCAGAAACCATTTCGGACTGAAATTTCTAATGTTTGTTTTCATTCCCAGAGGCAAATTTTATTTTGTTTAAATGTGAAGGAAACCATTCAGCTGTTTTATATTAATGAACTATTTTTCTAAAAATGAAGAAAAAGAAAATACATTTTACTGCTTAATTCTCAGATGACGCTTTTGTACCCAGATAAATGCCTTGGATGAAGAAATTCACACTTGGCAAGAATTAAAATCCTTGCAGTGCAAGAATCTCCTCATTACTTACCTAAAATTTATATTCAGGCTTAATAAATTTGAACTTTTAAAAAATGCAAGCTTCTCTGCACTGAAGTTCTTTCACATTACATTTTACTGACGAGCATGGTTCTCTTGGAGATGTTCCAAATGTACAGCGTGTGTCTAGGTATTCTTTACTTACTAGAAGTGGATTTACCAGAATTGAGAAGCCGCTGATATATGGATGTAGTGCTAATAAAGCACAGTTAACCTCCAGGCCCACGCCCCGCTCAGCTTCCCAGATTTAATCTAGTGTTAGTATTTTACGCATCTTTAGGTATCTCTTGTTCCCTTGTCTTTATTATTGTTTTATATGCTTTGGAGTTAGACAAACCTGTGTTGCAATCCCTAGGTCTCTCTTTTCTGTGTATCTGGCATTAAGCCTCCTGATGTTTCTCAGCCTCAGTTTTCTCATCTGTTAAGTGGGAATAACAAAACTCTCCAGAGTTGCTGAAGATTAGCAGTCGTGTACACAAAATACCCAACACTGGGCCAGATATCTACAGCGGATACACAATACATAGGAGAGGCTGGTATTACTGTTTTTCTCCACAATTTGATGTCTTTCAATAATGAGGGTCTTTCCAAATTCAAGCATTACCACTTTAATACCATATTTCAGTCAATTAAACTAAATAAGTTCTCACTAAATAAGTAATACAAAATAGTAAATAATTCAGGGACCAAATTAAATTATTTGCAAATTAATATTAGGTGTCAGACAACTACAAGGTATTCGTTGGAAACTGTAGTGTTTCTCTTTCCCCGTTTTTTGGTTTTGTTTCATTTTTGCTTAATAAGCATTTAAATCAATCTTTTATATTATATGCTTGTATCTCCTATTATTGAGGATGCTTTTAAAATGTGTAGGTATTTAATTTCTGAAATATCTGGGGGAAGGCTCATTTAAATTATTGATGCAGGTTTTTTCTGCTTTTTTTGGGGTTTGGGGGTTTTATTTGTTTTTTAGTAAACAATATCTCTATAATAACCCCTGGGTACATGGACAGAGCTTTTGTAAGTTGTCTCAGTTGATCATAACTTTATGTACTGCCATTCTAATAGCTACTGGACAGAAAAAAAGCTAGGACCCTGAGAGGACCACAGACATGTACAAGGAGAAGAGCAAAGTCTATGACCCAGATCTTCAAACTTCTAACTCAGATTTGTTTCCATTATTCCTTTTAGGAAGATATGGTTAGAAAAAGAAACAGAGATGAAAAACACGTTTTAAGGTCTTAATGATTAACACCATAGTTCACTTTTTAAAAGCAAGAACTCATCATTGCATCTTGTTTTAAAACCTTCCTCGGGATTCCCTTTGCCAGTTGCGAAGTTCAAATTTAGAAGGTGTTTATCTCATCTCCTACAATTTCCCATGTAAACCCAAAACTCTAACAAAACAAAACTGATTGAAAATTGCACATATACCATATTTTTTATACCTCTGTGTCTCTGCCTACAGTTTCTTCTCCACTTAGCCTCAAGCCCCTTTCAATATCTATTATATTTTGCACCTATTATGCACTTAATTTATCAAATGTCTATACAGTGCTATGCTTTAGGCACTGTTGGAATTGCTTCATACATATTAACTCAGTTAACCCCCATAATAGCCCCATAAGATAAGTAATAGTACCCCATTTTACAGATGAAAAAACTGACACATGAAAACTGAGGAATAAAGACAGGATTCCAGAAAGAGGAATCTGGTTTCCAAATGGGTACACTTAACCATTACACTATGTCACACATGCACTTGGAATTTCAAAATTGAAAAACATATCGCATTCTGCCAACACTGATGTCTAAATGGCGTGCTACCAAAGACCTCTGGGTTGCATAATTTGTTACCTTGTAAATGTGCCATCAACTGGAGCTTAGCTCTCATCTTTTTAGACTCAGAAACTTGATATTTTTCAGCAATCACACCAAAAACAGATCCTTGTCTTGGAGGTAGACTCACAATGACTTGGCCCATGAGATTAATGTTTTCAAACAACAATGCCAGTTCTAAAAATAGACTGTCTGTCACATGGACCAGAATACCCATGTCAGCCTGACTAGCTCACTCTGCCTCTTAGCAGTCACGAAAAGACAGATCACTCTTGGCAAGTCATCTGGTCAACATGGCATCATAACAATGGGTATTGCTGGGATGGGCAGAACATGCACTGGCATCGGCCAGGTTAGCACGAGGCATCTACATCGTGACAGCAACAGCCTTGTCCATGGGACCTGGAGGACCTGAAGTTTCTTGGCCTGGGACATTGCTGGGTTGGGCACTGGCAACCATGTATCCGTCATTCTCCTCGTTTCTATGATTCTAATGCCTCACTAGTCCTTTGTTCCCTTTGCCACATTTTATTGTTAATGCATATTCTTTTTGATAACATTCTCAAGACCTAACACAAATACTATCTAGCATTTCTTACACTGAATTATAATTATATGAGTGATTTTCTCACTAGCGAAAACCAAGTCACATTCATTCTTCTTTGTATTTCCAGAAGTAAACACATTGCCCAGCACATAATAGAAGCTCAGTGGGCGTTAGTTGAACAAACAAGTGAATTACAGAGCAGTAAAGCATCATGGTTATGAGTGAGAGCTCTGAAGCCAGATGGCCTGGTTTCAAATCTCAGCTCTATTACTTAATAGTTGTGTGATTTGGGGAAGTTTCTTACCTAAGCTTCAGTTTTCTCATTTGTAAAATGGATATAATGATAGTACCCTGTATCCCAGGGTTCTTGAGAAGATAAATAAACACATATAACAAACTTAGAAATCTACCTGGAACTCCGTAACTATTAGTTATTAGTGTAATCATCTCTCAGAATTTATTATATTTTTACTTTTTAAAAAAGTGTGACTTATTTTGAAAAGACCATAGTACTGCTGGTCTTGTTTTAAGTGTCATCACTGAATGTTTCATCAAAAATTGATTGTTTTTGTTCACAAGAGTTTAGTAAAATGGAAACTCCCATGTATTGCTGGTGGGAGTATGTAATGGTACAACCTTTATGGAATGAGTGCAATTTGGGAATTTTATCAAAAGCTTATAAAAGTTCATTCCCTTTAGTCCAGTAATTCTCCCTCTAGAAATTTATCTATCCTGAAGGCATAGTCAGAAATTTGGATGAAGCATATGCACAGATGTGGTTCATTGCTCTCTAATTTATCAAACCTCAACTTGGAAATTACTTAAATGACGAGTAATGGAAGAATGATTATACAAATTATATCATTTGATGGAATATTATGTAGCTCTCAAAATGATGTCTTTAAAGTTATTTAATAGTGTGGGAAAATACCTCCAAAACATGTAAGTGGGAAAAAACAAGCTACAAAATGGTACAAGTGATGCGATTTCCTCCACACTAGAAAGAAATCAATAAATCAAAATAATAGAGATTATCTTAGGTGAGGCAACTATGAGGGATTTTTTTTTCCTTTTAGGTAACCTTTCCCAAAGCCTGTACAATAAGTATGTATTTTAGAAATAAAAGTAATTCTTTAAGAATAATGACTTTTTATATCTTTAGATGTGTAATTTTATAAGGCATGTTGGATATTAAGTCTAATTTTTTATCATATTCAAGATCTAAGTTTTTTCATGAAATATTTCTTCAGTTTTATACCAGAAATAAGTAAGAAGACAGGATTTATTTAATATTAATATTTTTCAGAAAACTTGGCATTAATATTTGGTTAAATAAGAACTAACTACAAGTATTTATTTTGACAACTTTTGAAGGAAAATGAATGCTTAGTTTCAACCCTCATAGAGAAATCAATTTACATGTACAATTTCTTTAGATCTGCTCAATTTAATATTTGATAGTAACTCCTTTAAGAACATACTCAAAAGAATAAGAGAGACTCATATATAAGCATATTAAGAGAGAATTCTTTTTTATAAGAAAATAGTTCAAATATTGAGCCTTGCATAGGTAATAATGAGGTGTTTTTCTTTTCTTTTTGTTACCTAGGAGCTGTGAGGGAAGAAATATTCGATATAGAACATGCAGTAATGTGGTAAGTACTGAGATTCTGTGATTGTGAGAATGTATTTTTTTTCAGCAATGAATAATGCTAAGTAGTTTTATGTATCCTGAGCAGAAATCAATGAATGAGCATTTCACTAAGAATTTATCTCACTATACAGATTATGCAGCATTGAAAAATAAGTATTTTTAATGTTCTTCAATATCAACTTTTACAAATTTGGCCAGATTGAAACTAACTTGACTATCTCAAAACAAGGACGGTCTGTATTTCCTCTCTGTTTTCTGACTTTTTATATCTAGGCCTCTTGAGAACAAGTAGGAGGAATGATAAAAGGGAAACCACTTGGGGTCTTATGAAATAAGTGTTAGTTAACCAAACTCAGATTTCACAAATTCATTCATTCATTTATCATCTACAATTCAGTGCCAACTATGTGTGAGGCACTACACTAGTACAGGATAAATAACAGGTGGTCTCTGTCTTAAAACATCTCTGCTATAGTAAGAAATGTAAAGAGAAAAGACAGATGTACAAATCGCCACATTCTAGGTCAAAATATGACAAATGCTGTAAGAAAGGGATGGAGTTCTTAGTGGATTAAAAACAGAGAAATCTGAAGGGTCTTCGAGGAAAAGGTGATTTGAGGCAGGGGTAAGAGGGCTGGGAGGGCTGTGATAACCCAGATTGGGGGAGGGGCTGACAGCTAGTCCAAGTGGAGGAGATATAATGGGCAACTGTGGAAGTGGAAACATTTAAGATGTGTTCTGAACACTGATTTCTGTAGGATTGTGCTTTAGCAGTGTGGAAGAGAAGAATTGAAAGCTATTTTGAGGTTACGCCATGAACAGATTTGAATGTTGCGTTTCCAAATTTACATTTGTTCAGTGAATAATGAGGGGTCACTAGAGGTTTTGAGCGAGAGTATGATATTATAGAGTTTCACTTCAAGAAGTTTAATTCAGTAGTGATACGAGGGATGTACTGGTACAGGAAGTAAATGGGGAGCAAGAAATAATAGGAGTTTGTTTAACCAGGAGGGAATAGATACAAGAGAGATCAAAATTAAGGTCACTCAGCAAGACTTAAGCAATTAAAATCAGAATCATGAGTTAAAGTGAGAATAAAGAACACAGGCTTGTGCGTATTTAGAGCTCCTGTTCTTGCTGATCCTGCTGTTCGAGATCTTTCTTCAAGTATATTCATGATATACTTGAGGGCATTTTCCTCATTCCAGTCTCAGCTGAATTGCCACCTCCTCAGTGAGGTTTCCTTGACCCTTTTATCTAATGTGGTTGTCCCACTGCCCAAACGCTTCCTTCACAAATAGTCTATCAGTCACATTTTACTTTCCTTAGAGCACTTACCTCTACCAAAATTTATCTTATTTAATTACTTGTTTGTTTTCTGTTTTCCCACTCCAGAATGTAAATTCCATGAGAATAGGAGCCTCATTCAGCTTGTCCACTCCTGTATCCCCAAAGCTGAGTACTGTTGACTTACATATAGTAAGTTAACATACCGTAGATTTTTGCCAAACACTACATGAGTACCCAGGCTTCTGGAAGAATGACAAATGTCATTATCAAAAATAAGAAAGTTGGGAGGAGGCTTGGGAGAAGAAAATAATAAATTTGATTTAGGGACACCATTGAGTTGGATGTGCAGGCCAATCTTGTAGGTAGTGTATTCAACTAGGCAGTGGGGGTTTGATCTGAGGATAAAAATCGGAGCTTAAGTCCTGGAAACACAAAGTAAAAAATATAGAATTCGAAGATTTGGGGGCAGTTTGTTCAATAGAGCGCATGGAATGATGAGAGAAGGGAACCTCAGAACTTTAGTGAATTGTCTGTATTCAGATAGAAAGAGAACATAGTGCCAGGTAAGCTCTCAAAGTCACCATGAGACAAGTAGAAGGAGAAATTAGAATTCCTGAAGAATTCAGTAGGATAAATGTTACAAAGAGGTTAAAATATGAAAAAAGGCCAATGGGGAGTGATTTCTATAGTGAATTAGGAATGAAATCAAGATCACAAGAGGCAAAGAAATATATTCATGAGGAAATGGAGTTGATAGGTATAAGCTATTCTTTTAACGTGTTAACAGAGACATCTCATTATTTGTGTAGTCACAGGAGGGTGGGTGGGTTCTTTGTTTACAATGAGAGACAGTTGAGAGATGAGTTGATCTAGAGAGTGACCGTATGTGGAGGTGAGGGTAGGTATACTTGATGCCACAGGCCCCAAAGGAGATAGTGGGTGACAGTAAGAACAGGAATCTTGAAAAAGAAACAGGACATATACTTCCTTATTAGAAAACAGTCACAAATTAAGAAATAAGGGATGAGGGTATAGAAAGATTTCTGAAGAAGAGAAAAGTTGAGACTGCTCATGAAGAACAGCCTCAAACTACTCTGTAGAGGTTTCTAAGTCATCTGTTGAAAGTGAAGGGAAGTGAGTCAGACTTGGGAAAGTGAGTGTAAAGGCCTCGAATAGCCACTGAGGAAACTGAGTGGAAGCAAGCAAAGCAAAATAAAAGGATCATTGGCAGTAAAGAGGGCTCAGCTGAAGTTAGAGAGCCTGATCTGACAGAGATCATGGTCAACAAGGTGTTAGGACTCAGCCAGCCAGCTCCTGCACTGAAGCCATAATAGAGAATATGGACGTAGGAAGTGAAACTGGACATTGGAAGGGACCCATGAGCAGAATATAGATGAGATGAGAGAGACTAAACTGAATGAAATGTATATTTTTAAATGCCTAACCAGGGAGAGCATAAGGAACTAGAAAGCGTGATTATTGGAAATAAGAGTAATTTTTCAATGGAAAATTTTGCCTAGTTCATTTCTCTATTTCCATTCAGGACAGTAGGTGCCAGGTAACACAGTATCATTGCCTTCTCTACCACACACACACACACACACACACACACACACACACACACCTCTTCCCTGATCTATGGACTGATTAAAAGAAAGCACTGTAAGGGTTTTTTTTTAATTTTTAAAAAATAGCATTAACTGAATGTGTTTTAGAAATACTATGAAAAAAATTTTTGGTGGAAATATACTTAGCTCATTGGTTTTCTTTACTATCCCTTTTATTGTAGTGATATCTCATACATCAGTTTAAAAAAAACAACACCATGATGTTATTAAAGAATCTCCTTACCTTCTACTCCTTTGCTTTCTAGCTTTTAGAATAGTGGAAAGGGTCCCAACCCGCCTAAGTAGATGAATGCCTGAAGCATCGTGAGCAGATGTCTACCTACCCTTTCCTTAAAGCCCTTCAGAAACAGCCCATAATTCCCTTGCTATCATTATGAGCATTTTCATGGCTATATGAAGGCTATGACTCTGACCTAATGTGACTTAAAACCCTTAGCATTACTTGAGCCAACTCTTTATAGCTTGTAGAATCAAACTGACACTGAGTTTTTTTATGAGAACCAAGAGTCTTCAAATAATTTGAAGCCTTTTTTTCTTTCTTTCTGGCTTTTGGCCATGACAGCAGCAACAGTGCCAAAAAAACAAATTAAAAATCTTGTAAGAAAGGATCTTTTCATAATCACATTCCACTTTTTCAAACTAAGAAGTTCAGAAAAAATTCAGTTAAATATTCCCCTTTTAGATACTTCTTTCAGAGAAATTTGAGAGTTTCTTTTTAGCTAAGCTTCTGGGGTCACTCCTTAATCCCTGGACAGCTTCCTAGGGCTCCTCTGAACCACTTTCATTACAGAGACTCACACTTTTTTAATTCTTCATAGAGCTGCCACATACGATATTTCTTAGGGTTCTTGTTCCCCAAGACCAAGGAGGAGAAAACACCTCCTCAGTTTCCCAAATTTCCTGGCTTCCCCTGAAATTAGTTCATATACTTTTGAAGTTTTACTGTTAATTACTCTACAGACAGTGTATCAATATGAGAAAGTTAACGTTTCCATAATGTTTGCATAGTTCTTATAGCAGGGTACCTTCTTATACTATTTCTAGCTGGTCCACGTAGGTCATTTTCATTCTGAAGGACATAGTTCACCCAACCTTTCCCATTTTACAGTCCCCGCTATTTTCCTAGGAAAATTGTAAGGCTCTCTGTCTCTGGAAGGAAAGACTAAGAATACTGTTGGGAGAAACAGTAGGTGTGAACCAGCAAACCAATTAAGTGAGTCATTTAGGTCTCAGAGATCTTCCCTGGAGCCCATCAAAAAATTCTCCTTGGGTTACACCTTCATGTGTATTCAAATTGAATCTCTAATCTCAACCCCTTGTTGTTTTTTTTTAATTTTCAATTACAGTTGACATACAATATTATATTAGCTTCAAGTTTACAAGAGAGTGATTAGACATTTCTATAACTTATGAAGTGATCACCCCAATAAACCCAGTACCCATGTGACACCATACATAGTTATTACATTAATATGGACTATATTCCCTATGCTATACTTTATATCCCATGACTATTTTGTAACTACTGCTTAGTACTTCTTAATCCCATCCCCTTTTTCACCCACCCACCCAACCCCCTCCCATCTGGCAGCCATCAAAATATTCTCTGTATATATGAGTCAGTTCCTCTTGTGTTTACTTGTTTATTTTGTCTTTAGATTCCACATATAAGTGAAGTCATATGGCATTTGTCTTTCTCTGTCTGACTTACTGCACTCAGCATAGTACCCTCTAGGTCCATCCATGTTGTTGCAGATGACAAGACTTCATTCCTTTTTATGGCTGAATGATATTCCATTGTATATATGTACCACCTTTTCTTTATTCATCCATTGATGGACACCCAGGTTGCCTTCATATCTTGGCTATTGTAAATAATGCTTCACTGAACATATGGATGCACATGTCCCTTTGAAGTAGTGTTTTGGGATTCTTCAGATAAATACCCAAAACGGGGATTACTGGGTCCTTCTTTATCTGTTATAGCCTTTGTTTCAAAGTCTATTTTGTCTAGTATAGGTATTGCTAACCAGCCTTTTTTTAAATTTCTATTTTCATGACATATCTTTTCCTATCTTTTTAC